CAACGCTTTAATTAGCCGCGAGTTTCTTGTTTCGTAGCGCCATGTCAACCTCTCTGCCATAGAGATAGTGGTTTTACTAGCAGCGACGCCGTTGTCCGCACACTCTCGCCAGGCACATGTCAAGTATGAATAGCCTCCGCTTCACTCTATGCGCCCATCGGTAGCGCATCACACGCTGCGCTGCACAGCACACACGACATTCCTATCGCGCCTGCTACCACAGCCTTCTCTTGCTGCCCGGTGTCACTTGCATATGGTGGTGCTGCTGACAGTATGCCTTCAAGCTCGGCACTCGTCGGCCCATTCACATGAAGGGCAGGAACCCTGAGCGCCTGATATCTTTTACTACACCACAGCAATCGTGAATCGCAGCCTGTGAACCGGAACCTAACTTCAAACTTCAGCAAGATAAACACAGCTCAACCAATTATCACGCGCATCTATATCCGCCAAATCGACTCGTACCACTCGAGCCAATCCACGATCCCAGTAGACTCGTCGTTCGCATCAGACAATACACTTGGACCACTACCTACACACTGTCATGCCGGAGTCACAGAGTCCCACAAACGCTGCCGACCGGCCCCGCCTCACCGAAGCTCAAAAGAAGGAGAACCACATTCGCTCTGAGCAGAAGCGACGCGAAGCCATAAGAGAAGGCTTCGACCGACTTGCCTCAATAGTACCCGGTCTAGAGGGGCAAGGGCGAAGCGAGGCAGTCGTGCTGGGAGGCGCAATCAAGCTTATGCGCGAGAAGATTGTGGAGCGACAACAAATCATCGCCGATGCCAAGGCAAAGGGGATTGATACAACAGGATGGGAGTTGGACAAGGAGACTATGGAGGCGTGTGCTAGACAAATGGAGAGAACGCTGGCCGAGGACAGGCAGGCTGCCAACGAGGAGGAGAACGGTAATGGGATTGAGGTGAAGAAAGAATAGGCATACAGATGCAGAACGAAGTAGATATGGACTGAAGTTGCGAGGCGAGGGCACAGTGTTGGAACATCCCTACTTTGCTGTTCAACAGTAAAGATATGGATTCGCCAACCAGCCTGCGTCTTCCTATGGCCTACGAAGGATTTTGAGAAAGGTTAACGGAGATTACTGCACTTTTCTTGACCATCGCGCCCAATCGTTGCATTCAAAACAAACGTAATGATCAAGTCAGCTTCCATTGTGACAACTCAAGATGGGAGTACATTTAGACGGCTTACATTCACCCGTGCACCTCACATGTCTTATCGATAAGCCCAAAATTATCTTTCACATGAAAGCAGCCCCACCATCCAACATACTAACGCCTCGCATACCGGTCTAACCTGATTCAACCCCAGTCCAGTATCCCATAATGACCTTCAGTTTCGGCTTCTCAGGTGACGATATAGAAGAAGATCCAAACGATGTGCAAGACCAAGGACAGCAGCCAGCAACCACGGACAGTGATGTGCCACCACCGATCCCGGCAAAGACACATGATCTAGATGAATTGGTAAGTATGCGCTTTTGGTGCTTGTGTAATGCAAGTGCGTACGCATAATGATTTCTCATTCTTGAATTTTCAATATACCTTCCCTGTTTAGAATATGTCGTTGATATTACTGAGTACCGAACTGACATACCACAGCTATCAACCCTGCCAGACAAGCTCTCCTACTCAACTGTCAGCATAACAAGTCCCAAAGGCTTCACAGCCCGTCTTCCACGCCGCGAGCTCTTCGATGTCCGCCTTCAGCTCATGGCCGAAGACGATGGATCTTCTCAGACGCCCCTAACAGGTCTCGATGTACGTTTCACTTTCCCACCAAAATTCACATCATAGACTCATCCAAGCTAACACTCAAACCAAGGACTCGGACCTCCGCCAAAACGTCTACGAAGGCGGCTACAAGACTTGGGAATGCAGTCTCGATCTTGTCCGATACCTCTTGGATCGTGGTCCGCGGAAGGACCTCGATGACCTGATGCGCGTTGGACACGTTATCGAAATGGGCTGTGGCTCCGCGCTTCCTTCTCTTCTCCTATTCCAATACGCAGTGAAAAATCAACTTGGAATTTACTTCACGCTGACAGATTATAACGCCGATGTCATGCGACTCGTTACTCTTCCCAATTTACTCTTGACATGGGTGGGTACACTGAGTGCTGGAGATAGTCAAACGCTGTTCTCGGAAACTGGAAACCCGCTGTTGGAACAAGAGGAGAATGGCGAGTTGTACATCACTCCCGAGATTCTCTCTGCTTTCAAGAGGGTAATGAACGAGACTGGAATTACCATGACATTTATTTCGGGATCTTGGACACCGATTGATGCGCTTCTGGAGATGGTTCCTTCGTCACCAGACTTGAATACTTTCATCCTTGGTTCCGAGACGATCTACTCGCCGGCTTCGCTTACGGCGTTCACGGATGCGATCGTTGCGCTGATGGGGCGGGTCAAGACAGGCAAGACTATGGTGGCGGCGAAGAGAGTCTACTTTGGTGTTGGAGGTAGTGTGGATGGATTCAGGGAGGCTTGTGCACAGAGAGGATGTGTGGCTTATGAAATGGAGTTTGAAGGATTAGGGGATGGTAGTGATGGGGGCGTAAGGAGATGTTTGGTCGAGGTGCAGATGTACTGAATTTGCAAACAATGGAGTTTCAATAAAGTCATAAGCTATGAATGGCGTGGGTATCTAGATACATACTAGGGGGAAAAGGAAGCCAAGAGACTAAAGACAATCTCATGAACGCCATCATGCCATACCCAAGCACAAACGCAGAGTTATCCAACCTTCTCAATGCCGAGACAGTTCTACTACTTCGCCCTGATCGTGACCGTCGGTCCAGGCAGCTCTCTCCTGCCGTCAGATTCCTCTCCACCACGCATAAGCCTCTTGTATGTCTCCCTCTCTTCCCTCATCTGCTCTCCACGACTGACCTGCAGCCTCTCGACACCCTTCCCAATAGTATCAATGTGGAATTCTAACGAGTAACCACTCGCATATCCCAAGATCTCCGGCGCCGCGACGCCTTCCCGCAGATTTTCCAACTCAGCCTGGATTTCCTGTAGCTTGAGGAGCGTGTCCGTTACATGATTGACGGCTCTTTTGCGGTACCCGTTGATGTTGGAGAGTAGGTTGAGGGATTTGATGTTGGCCTTCACATCCCCGCGGTTTCCACCGAGCTTTGTCCAAAGGCTAGAGAGAAGCTCGTCTTGTCTGCTCGTTATCGTCTGGTCGTCGTTTGTCGCAATCTCATAGATGGTACCTAGTCGCTCGTCGAGATTTTGTAGGACAAGAAGGAGCGCTTGAGCAGTTTGAATGAGACCGGTGATTTCGTCCTTGTTCTTGCTGACGTGTAGGACATATTGGTCGAAGATCTGCTGTTGAAGCGTTGGTGGTGGGGCCACAAATGCGCCTGTGAGCTGGTTGAGGACTCGGCCAACAGCGCCAACTGATGCTTCTTTCTCCGAAATCCCAGACAGTACATTCATGGTCCAGGTATTTGTTGCGATGACGCGGTCCATGGCTGCTCCTATACGGCTGTTGTAGCGGGAGAGATCGAGGGAAGCCTCATTAGCGGTTTGCATAAAGTACTCAAATTCGTTCTCCAGTGCTTTGCGGCTTGGAAGACGAGAGTGTTTGACAAGAATTCGCAAATCGCGAATAGCAAGTTCAGAGTTCTTGATCGTGGCAGGTAATGCAGAAGTATCTTTCGATGCATCCAAGATATCCTCAAATCTACCTTGGACGTTGATAAGCTCCTCAAAATCAGCTTGAGGGCTTTCTGTGCCTGTCGTAACACAGGCAGCGATGAGATAAGAAGAGCCGGGTATAGCACAAACAGGACCCATCACGGCATTTGATACCGTGGAGCGTAGCATGCCGGATGCTATCTGTATACTGAAAACTAGTATACCAACACCAAGTATGACGCCCAGGACCGGTTTGATGAAGTGGCGCAGGGCGTAGGAGAAGATATCCAAGAAATGAGCAAGAAGTGGTGCGGCGACGTTGTCCCAGAAGAGACTCACGTAATGCCATGGGCTTACCCCCCCCTGCTCTTGTGGTGATGACTGTTGATGTTCGCTGGCAGAGCCTCTCATAGAAGAAATGCCAGATGCATGGGGTGGATTTGATGAAGGATTTTGGGCCAGTTTCCTTGCTCGGTTTCGCGGCTGGGGCTTTGTCCCTGGTGACCCATTGTATCCACTCTGCGAGTTGGCCATAGAGGGCATGATGAAGCTTGGCTCGAACGCGTCTTGCCTTTGCGTCCTTTGGTTTGATCCTATTCTCTGCGACTGACTGGCTTTAGTACGACTCGCTGGCTGTCGTACTGGCCGAACTTGGGTTCGAGCTGTAGGTGTTGATTGACTGAGGTGGTCACGCTTAGGTCTCGGTGTCACAGGTGTCTGGGGTTCTTGTATCGTTTCTTTGTCGGGTCCTTCCAGTTCCACTTCACTGGCTTCGTCGCTAGCGGAGTGAATCGATCCTTCGTCGCCGGATGCGTAGTCAGCGTCACCCCAACTACTGCCCAAGCTGTGTTCGAGTCGATGGGAACGTGCGCTCATGTTCTAAGTTGGTAGTGTCTGTGAGTGGGGGCAATGATCGCGTGGGGCAAGGTAAGGATGCGGATTAAGTGGTAGTTATAGGATTGGGCAGTAGCAGTATTTCTAGAGACAGTCCAAACTGTCTCACTAACTGTCCTTTGTGTAGTTGTAGGAGGTTGGGTAGGCGGCTTGCCACTTCCTACGTGTGACGTGGGGCATATCAATCAGGCTTCGAGCGCATACCACGATCAGCTCGCAGCCGAGACACTTAGTGCTTTTGCCATCAATAAAGTTTCCGTGCGGATGAATGACTCTAGCACGTTACCTCTAGTGCCTGGCTGCACTACTGACTCTGGTGTTGACTTGTGGACGCGTCGACGTCATGTTGGAGCTCGCGGCCGCCAAGACGACTAGCCCAGAAAGTGCATCCTGAACACCACGCGAAGGCGTTGCAGGTATCAGGACTTTCCGATGTCATTACGCCAGCTTTCGTTCGCGCTACGGACTGCACGACAGGCGCAACTAGCATCAGCAACGTGGCGCCCAAATGGCCGTCTCTTTGTGCGGAGCTGCTCTTGCTCTGCGCCTCACCAGTTACAGCACACAGTGACTGTCTCATCTGAGGCACCCGCCAGTGCGCAATTGAACCCTACAACCGGCACCCCGCCTACGCCCTCCCTCGACCACCGAACTCTCGCGCAGACACATAACCTCTTCATTACATCTCCGTACAGCCCTGGCTCACCGCTCATTCTTCCCAACGGCGCCTATGTCTTTCAGAAGTTGCAGTCGTTCCTCCGAGCGCAGTATCCACAATTCGGCTTCCAGGAGGTCATTACACCCATAATATATAAGAAGTCGCTATGGGAGAAGTCAGGACACTGGGAGAACTATGCCGAGGATATGTTCAGTGTGCAGGGGCGAGGTACAACGGCGCAAATTCCAGAAGCAGAAGGTGGAGAGGACGGAGAGTTCGGCCTGAAGCCAATGAACTGTCCAGGCCACTGCTTGCTGTTCAGGGATGAGATCAAGAGTTATAGGGATCTGCCAGTCAGACTTGCCGACTTCAGTGCTCTACACAGGAACGAGATCTCAGGCGCCTTGACAGGTCTGACCAGGGTCCGGCGGTTTCACCAGGACGACGCGCACATCTTCTGTCGACCAGATCAAATCTTGGCTGAGATTGAGCAGACACTTAAGTTTGTGGGCATGGTATACAACACGTTTGGATTAGGTCCCTACAAGCTGCTTCTCTCTACTCGGCCAAAGGATAGCTTCATCGGCACTATTGAGGAATGGGATCGTGCAGAGGAGCAGTTGACTACTGCGTTGAACAACATCGGAAGCGAATGGGCAATCAACGAAGGAGACGGAGCATTCTACGGACCGAAGATTGACATCATCCTAAAAGATTCGAATGGCAAAGAGCATCAGACGGCAACCATACAGCTGGACTTCCAACTTCCGCAGCGCTTCGACCTACAATACCAGGCATCGCCGGAAGAACTAGAGGCGGGGCCACAATCGTCCATGGACGCAGGTCTAGATCCAGCCCTTCGCCGCCCGGTCATCGTCCACCGCGCTATTTACGGATCCATCGAGCGCTTCATGGCTCTGCTGATCGAACACTATGCCGGCAAATATCCGTTCTGGCTGTCTCCCCGGCCTGCCATCGTCTTGTCGCTGAATTCCGACCCAAAGGTCCTTGAACATGTCTCGCGTATTCAGTCTGTCCTCTCGGGGCTCACACCATCTGACGCACCAGAAATTTCCGCATCGTCACCTAAGCCACTCCCGTTGTCGACCATACACCTTCCCATAGACGTTGACACCAGCGACCGTTCGCTCGGCAAGAAGATCGCTGAAGCAAGGACAAAGAAGTACAACCATATTATCGTCGTGGGTGGTAAGGAGGTTGAGAGCGGCAGCATGAACCTCCAGATCATGAATCAGCCGAACGAGGAATCCACTATAGAGGCGTTGCAAGTCTCCTTAGGAAAGACACTCACTGACAAAGAGCGATCGAAGGCCACTGTGAACGTCGATCTGGATTCTGCTAGAAAATATTTCGAGAATCTAGCCAATTCATTCTTGTAATGCAGAGTCAATCCGCATTCAAAAGCTCGCCCGTCACCAACAATGCACTGTTATGATTACTCCGCATCTAGTTCTACTCTTCACTGTTCTCCTGTGTTAACGTCATCATCAAGTTCATTATGAACTGTCATGTAGCACACGTAGCTATTATTCGTTATCGTGTAATTGAGAGATCAAGTGCGGTCGAATGCCCTATTTCGGTTCTAAGATCACTCAAGCATGCTTTCACCCCACGATTTCGGGATGATCATCAAAACAGAATATCATGCAATCAGGTTATGTATATCCAGAAGAATATCATGCAATCAGGTTATGTATATCCAGAAGAATATCATGCAATCAGGTTATGTATATCCAGAAGAATATCACAATAGCATTCATTTTGATTTCACTTCTGCCGGAAAAGTCGCCTGTAGGATCCTTGATGTGCAGCTCGACAATATGGAGGCACAGTGAGCGAACCATCCAGAGCATTCCTGCAACAGGACCATGGTCAGACATCTCAGGTTTTGTCTCCTCAACAATAGCTAAGTTTGTAGGTTTCGATGGGACGTAAACCAACTTTTCCCTCGTGATATGTCGGTCTATCTAATTCTGCTTACTCTCACATCCACTTGCTGGACACCGAGAACAACATTCGGACTTACGAACTACATTTCCAAGCGCTCAGAATGTGTTCAGAATACTTGCATAAAGTCCTCTCTGCCTCCCCACACGAGCAGCGTTTGGCCGTCCATCTTGCGCTATCGGCGCCAAAGCCATTCGAACCCTTCGTAAACTGGCTATTTAGAGGCAGCTTGGACACTGTTGCCGAATACAAGTGCTTCGCCTAGAAGCACAGCAAGGGTGCATCAAGCCTGGCGATTGGCACCCAGAGAACCATTTCTCGTTCAGCGCATGTTACACAACTGATGCGTACATCTTGACATTTCTGTGTCAAGCTCCTATTTTCCTAAAAGAACGGCAACTTGCGGGTGGCGTGCGCTACCTTCATAACAGAAGGCTGTGGGGTATAAGTTGTAGGAAGTAGTTTGTTCGTGGCAACAGAACGTTCAACGAGGGTTGAAGCGTGCCTGATCCACCACACGGCTGATGTGTACAGATTTCTCATTCACGAGTAACATGGAGTCTGTACGCTCGCCTGAAACCGAAACTTGAGAAGGACGAATCACCTCGGGTTCAGCCGAACGCATCGTTAACCATTGGGTCACGAGCATACCGAGACAAACTGAGTTACATGTTAGCCTTGTCCATCGTGCTGAAATGTGCAAACTTACTGTCTGTCAGGCACATCAACAGACATGCATGGCTCATCTTCGCAAAAGCCCAGCTGAGGAACAAGCTGTTGTTGCATACAGTGACCATCAACATGAAGCCAGAGCCAACAACGTTTCGAACCAGCATGACTCGCAGGTCGCTCCGAGAAGACGTTCGCATCGAGTGGCGTGTCTTGCCCATCCATTGTCTGAATCCATGGCTTGGAGAGTCGGATTCCACACAAGTGGTATTGCTAGCGAGACTCCGCATCTTAGGTGCGGCCGAGCCTAAAGCTGGCCGAAGCTGCCACACGAAGATTCCTGTTAGAATGGTGTTGATGAGAATATCCAGCACAATGACCGCCATTGCAGCCTGTGGTTCGATGCCGATCCTGCATATACCAGTCTGATGGTTCAACTCAGAAAACGGATTGACAAACTGCCAGGCCATGATGGCGAAGAACCCGCCGGTAGTCAGGATCGCTCCAACGACGTATAATCTATCTCTCGTACGATCGACGAACGGAGCTCGAACGATATGGACTCGCTCGAGTAAAAAGAGATATCTGGATGGGTCAGCGTGTGTGCTGCAAGATGACGTCGCGCGCAAAAGGACACTGACAGAGCTATCTTGTCCGCGCCGTACATGACGATGCAGACTCTTATGGCAGCATGGCACTGGCCATCAGTTTGCAAGCCCAGCCCCGATACTTGTATGGCCGTGGCAAACAAGAAGGCTGTGCAGACGAAGCCTTGCGCGAAGACGAGCACGTCAGAAACTCGAGTCTTTGACTTCTGGCCGGCCAGACGGCCAGCTCGGTACCCTGATTGACAGTCAGTAATTGTTTGAACAGTACTTATATACAAAATAGTAGAGAGTTACGACGAGATGCACTTACCCTGGGCCAGTGCAAGAACGACTGCAAACAAGATGCATACTACAACAACTAACACACGATGGGGTGGGCGTTCATCTAGTCTATTGACATAAACGTCGTCCCGGTTAACAAGGGTGAGTGGAGACATCGGATGCGCAGCCCCATGAGCGATGGCGATTTGCGTGAATGCGAACAGGGTCGAAAGGATGGGAAATCGCATAATTGTTGCCAAGCTGTCTGTGGAGACACAGGGACCATGTCAGAACATATACTGTCAGTCCACAAAGGGAGCTCAGATCAAGTGTTCGTCACCAAAACATTCTACTAGATCTATGTGGTACATAGACCGATTTGTCGCAAGATTAGCGCATTTCCGAGAGTGTCACCGCTGAAGCTTACTTGCAATAGCGCCAGGACTTGTGAGATGGAGATATCTCCGTAGCGCCATACGTGGACCCCGTAGCGATCCTTCCGCCGCGCCATGTGCGGAGACGTTGCACTACACCTATAGTAATCGACACCGTTGGGCTCTGAAAGCCCGGATCGACACGAGAGTTTTGACCGCTGCTTCACGTACACCGGAAGTCTCTTCAGCCATGTTTCTGTCGCAAAAATACCATCATATAGACCCTGATTCTCAAGTATTACAGTAGCTTTCAGACAGAAAGCTACATCTGGATATTAACGGCGAAGTGTCCGGTGAGATTGAGAGGTGTCTTAATCTAGGGCTGCGAATACATTGGATGTCCGTACGCTCCCGACCGGCATTGCTGACATCGAAGGAAACTCTCGCGGCGCGTTCTACCTTTTAGCCTTTGCACATGCCCGCGCACCATGACGCACCGGTGTTGGTCGTCATTGATATATGTCTCTTCGCCTTTCACATGCTGTGGCTCTCCTTCCGACTCCCCTTCCGCCATGACAGAAGATACACTATACGATGCATCATGCGCATCCTTTCCAGTTACTCTCATCGCTTTATCCTCCACTATCTTGACCTAAGTTGACTAAATACGGGACAAGCAGATTGCGGTCTGGTTTCGGTGTTCTTCTAGAGCTTGCTGAAACTTACATTTTGCACGAAAGTCAACCAGTGGATCTATCTGCGCGTTGTACAAGGTTTCGGAGTTGAGATACTGTATTTGGCTTACTTAGAAAGAGCTCAATTGAAACTCGGATTCGGATCCGGTATCAGCATATGCAGGAGGACGATAATGTCGAAAGCCGCAAGGACCGGTGAAGATTGTAAACCAGAAGTTTCTGTTTAGAAAACCTTCCGCAATCTAGAATCTATCCGCTCTCTAAACATAGGGTCTCCGATTTCTCTCGGCCAGACTTCTCATGTCCCTGCTTCCTCAATATTTGTCTGTTTAGTTATATACATTAGGACGTTTCGAGACGCTTGTGAGTGACGGACACGTTACACGTAAGTTTATCCGTATCCCTGTGAGGTTCACCAGTCCGCGTGCAGGTTCTACACAACCAATTTTATTCTTCTTCGCATCAGGAATTTACTGACTGACTGTCTGTCCTCACTGTGGCTTGATATACTCTTGACTAGGACAAACATTGCAACCATTCTGATGTGGGGTCCATTATCTACTGACTTCGGTTTACCGGCTCCCAGTGCTGAATACAAACGAACCTACCCGTACTCCCACTGTCATGGATGAGAACAGGTGTTGAAGTCTGGCTCATTGCAATTCTCATGCCAAAGATCGAGGAGTTTGAGGAAAGCAGTGATCCCAGTAGCGAGCGAGGAACAGCACTAGTCTGTGAGAACGCAGGGGGAAGGGTCAGGCTGTCATGTACGAGCCTGTGTGGTAATTCACATTTGGTTGTCATTTTGAGAATACCTCGTTGTACGTATTCTAGTCCCTAGCTGTATAGGACTGTGTCCTGCTTCGCATGAAACTGCGTATCCGTAGACTGCCCGACTCTCTCCAGCCCCTATCCATCATTTGATTGCGAGCTCAACTATGCTTCGAGTTCTTCCTTGCCTATAGCTGTCGTACCGATAGATTCCCAGGTTGGTTAGTTATCGTTGAAGATATTGCGTATGTTGGGCGATGCTAAAACATCATCGAGCCAACAAGCAGTTGTAAATCTCCAGAATAATTCACCAGGCAGAAGTAACGTCGGCATGGACCGCCGCAGTGGTATCATCAGCCCAATTGCCTGTCGACTCAACAGGAGCAACGCCCCAACTTCCAGCTGCAGCTGTCGAATCCCCGATACCACCCCAGTCACCGCCGGTGTTCTCAGCAGGAGGCTCCGGGCATCGCTTCTCGCCATGACCGAAGTTGTTACAGTTACGGCACTTGACTCGGCTCCAGTCACGAGGCTTTGGACACTCGCGCGATGCGTGACCCTCCTCATCGCAATTGCGGCACTTCATCACACGAGGCTTGTCGCACTCACGTGACATATGGCCCTCATCTCCGCAGTTATGGCAAGCCCGGCCGCTACCACCAGCCATAGGGTTTCGAGGCTGAGTGCAGTCGGTCTTACGATGGCTAATGAGACGTTAGCACGGTACTAGTAAATAGTACGAAGATATTAGACTTACCCGGTCTCACCGCAGTTGAAGCAAGCTTGACCACCAGTGCCCTGAGGACAGTCGCGCTTCTGGTGACCGGTCTGGCCGCAGCCGTAGCAGGCACGATCGCCGCCGCCACCGCCACCTCCACCAGATGGGCAGTCGCGCTTCTGATGTCCAGTTTGACCGCACCTGTAACAGGTCCAATCGCCACCACCGGTGTTGTTATAGCTTGAAGTGTTGGTATTAGCGAAATCGCCACCAGAGCCCCAGCCATCGTTGGTAGAATTAGCAGCACCGCCGAACCCGTTAGCATTTGCGAACTGACCAGCACCGCCGAATTCGTTGCTGTCGCCGAAGCCAGTCGCGTCGCCGCCGAAGCTACCTCCGGGATTCTTCAACTTCTCTACCTCTTCACGTTCTTTAGCTTCAGCCGCACGGTGCTTCCTAGAGTTCTTGTGACTGGCCCAGTCCTTAGTAAGGATCTGGCGATCGCAGACTTCGCAAAGAGAAATGCGAGCGGCATGCTCCTTCGCCTTGGGGTAGGGATTGGCCACAAGATTTGACATGATAACAGTTGAGCCACGAGCCATGATGCGGATTCTTTGAGAAAGAAGGGTCTGAGTCTGGGCGTAGTATAGGTTAGCTGTTTGTGCCTTGGAAAGAAGCGGCGGTTCACTGAGGTGCAGCAGATGTTGGACGTGGCATCGGTGGCTGCTGCTGAAGTATAGCTTCGAGCGTGTGCTATGTTTGACCGAGGGCCAAAGTCGGTTATGTGCTCATGCAAACTCGTGGAGCCCACTGTCTCAACTTGGAGACTTACAGTCTAGACACTGGAAGGGAGAGAGACTTACATTGTGCGGTGAGAGTAGGTATCGCAGACAGTCGGCAATACAATCGGCGTCTGCTGATAGTATAACCAATCTCGTACGTCGTTGGTGATATCGTCGAGGCGAGGTAATAGAGACTGAAGGTGAGCGTGGAAAATCTTATACAGGCAGGCGCGACGTAGCATGGACCCTGCACCGACAACAACAAACACTCGAAGCGAGACCGAACATAAGCCGGGAGATGCAATATGGAAGGTGGTGGAAGGAAAGGGAGCATGGAGACAGCGTCGCCAGTATGCATGTCGGGTACCAACAGTACCGGATGAAAAATGACAGGTCACTCGGGAAGGGTTACACGAGAGCTGGTGATGAGAAATAGTAGAGCCACAAAACGAGGTGATTGGGGAACATCAAAGTGTGCCTCTCAACGCGTATATACAGCCATGGAACCATTGAATGGTATGTGTAGACCTACATACTTACAAGAAGTCCCTGCGCTCAAGGGCTTGTCTCTCGAAGCGCTCCGGCGTGGAGTTCCTTGAAATACTAGAAAGTGGATGCTTGGAGATTGACAGGATAAAGGATGCGGTTCAGCATGCAGATGTCAATGTAGTTTCGATGTACATTTGTTCCAAGGACTGCTTTACCTATGTGGTACTCAAGCACCTGCAGGCACCCCATCTTCGGCGTCAGCCTCTTCTTCCTCCCTCTGACTCTCACTCTTTATCGGTTCTTTCCAACCTGTACCGGCCTGTACAAGAACAACAATAACCGAGAGCCCTACGGCGCAGAGAAATAACGCCTTGAGTGCATCCGCATATGCCCCAACGGCAACGATCCTATCCTTACCTTCCAGTTTTCCCACAAGTGCAGGACTTCCCAGCAATCTCCTAATAAGCTCACCGCGGCCTTTCAGCCCTGCTTTCGCAAAGCCCCTGTCCAGGGACTTGTGCAGCACACGGATGAAGTAGCCACCACCAATCGCTGAGCCAAAAGAGCCAGAAAAGCCGCGGAAGGTAGCAAGGAGGGAGATGACAATCGGATGGACCTCTGGCAGCGTAAGGTGTAGGAGATGGACTAATGCGTAGTTTGTTGCAGCACCAGTGACAAGGCCGTTGAGGAAGACCATGGCAACGTATAGAGCCCATGGACTTGTGGGCGTGGAGATGAGGGCGAGCACAGCCATCGTGATTGGGAAAAGTGCCATGGCGACAACAGTATGGAGGTAGAAGCTGCCTGTGCGTTTGATGTGAAAGATGCCAGCAAGAAGACCGCCAGTTGCGAAGCCGGCATTCGTAGGGATGAGAATCGAGCCAGCAACGGCGGGCGCCCAGCCTCGAACAGCAAGCGCATACACGGGCGTGTAGAAAAGGATACTCCAACGAGCCATCATAAAACCAGTCGTGGCGAGGCAGGTCAATAGGGTACCGCGCGACCGCAGCACAGAGACTGGAATGACAGGGTCGCCAGCGACGTAGGCCTCGTTGAGAACGAAGACTGGCAGAGCGAGGGCCGATAGAATGATGGGTATTGGGAGGACCTTTGGACCAGACAAGCCGAGAAGAAAGAGTACAATGGTGGTGGTCAGGAGGAGCGCTCCAGAGTAGTCGATGCGGGCGAGCTTCTCACGAATCGAGAGGCTTTCGTACTTGATGTTCTTTGATGTATGGCTAGCTGGAATAGAGAACAGCAGACCCAAGCCGGCCACTAAGCTTATTGGTGCTTGTATACCAAAAAGTGGTTTCTGCACGTGTCAATAAGCGACTGACGATGACTTGGAGTTATGGTAACAGCTTACCCATCCGATCCTGGGTTCAAGCGCACCCGCTATCACCGCTCCTAGCGAGACACCGACCGTCATTGCAGTGTTGGCAAGACCCATGTAGAGGCCTCTCCGTTTTGGGCTAGTCATCTGAATTGCCATGATACTAGCAACAATGAAGATGCCACCACCACCAGCTCCAGTCACCACGCGACCAAGAATGAAGTGCTCGAAAGATACGGAGGTGGACGTTATGACCGATCCAATGCAGATCAACATGGTGGAAAAGAACATGCATAGACGCGGACTAAAGACCTGACATAGTCGTCCCATTAAGGGAGCGAGAGAGGACATGGCGATGAGGTACGAAGAAGTAAACCAGCTAGCGGTTTCGAAGGCATCTAAGTCTGCAGCAATAGATGACTGGGTTGTGGTAAGGATGGAGATGTTTGTGGCTACCATAGCAATTAGAACGTCGTTTGAAAAAGTACCGCGAGAATATAATACCAAATGGCTTCTACTAGTTTGCCACGGTGCATAACCTCACTCATCTAAGGATGGCACAACACATAGTCGAAAGTGGGAAGAGAAAACGTGCTGATGGTGCTTCAGACATCGGATAGACATACCTTGGAGAAAAATCAAAAGACCAACAGATCCGACAATAAGTGACCCTCTTAACGTCGAGATGGCTGCTTCACCATCTTTACCATCTCTGTCCGACAAGCTTGGCGACGTCGAACGCCGAAGTAGAGGCGCGCGCTCTGATGAGGCGTTCAAGACTGCCATGATGTAGGTTCTTCGATACGATTTCAGGGGACAAGAAAAGTGCTATCAAAGAGCGATAGTGGGAAGATGAACATCGCGTAGGAAAACGCGTAGGAACAAGACGGGAATCATGATGATGATACGTGCAAGGATGTTAGTGCTTCCATCGATGACAAATGCGGAAAGAGGTCGGTTGTCCTTGCCCGCAGGCTTTCGTCCGCGAAAGAAGCAAGATAGCGACGGAGAAATATCGCGGGAGCGCGGAAGCTTGATGCAAGCGAGGACGTTTGCCAGATTCCCATGAGTGAAAGCCGGGAAAGTACGCGGCGTTGTTGCGGCGCGCGAACGTGTGACATAAGTGACGTCAACGCTCATTGGCTGCAGAAGCCACGCATCGGGGGGCGTAATTGCCGTGATAGTGGAAAGCTGGCCTCTACAAACAACTGCATCACGACTGCGTACAAGTAGTCGCGCCTCTGCTTCGGACCCCCGCGAGATGACGCCATGAGTTTCTTTCTTCCCATTACTTTGAATTTCGACATATACCCGCAATGAGGCCGCAGCTACAGCGGCTTGTGCCGCTTCTTTTTTGTACGTATCTGCACATGCGACTGAAGTAGCTTCTGACTGACTGGTAGACCCGCAGTCTTTCTCTCGCTATTCTTATGCGTTTCTTCGGGGCAGACCAGAGAGGCTTGGAAGTCGGGATGGGGGAATGTAGAAGGAGATGTGAACCCAGACCAGGGCGTACTGGCCTTTGACGATGCTATGGCGCTTCTACACACGATCAAACCGGCTGCGGCGCCATGGTGGAATTTCGATAAAAAGTCTGGCATACTGGGTACCAGCGCGTACTACGCCAAGGAAGTCTTCTTCCTGCTCTTCATGAATGGACCGCCGCAGCAGGAGCTGTTGACCACGAACCCGCAGTCCAAGAAACTTGGACATTCCCTGTCACAGGCCGTTGACTTGTTGGAAGAGGCCGCGGCCCAGAAGAACCCCGATGCAATCTTTACTCTCGCCGAGATGAACTTCTACGGCAACTACACGCACCCGCGCAACTACTCCGAGGCCTTTCGAAGATACCACGAGCTCGCGACTCTGAATGGAAATGCCTCGGCACAGCACATGGTTGGTTTCATGCACGCGACTGGCATCGGCGGGGCAGTCAAGCAAGACCAGTCCAAGGCTATGCTATACTACACATTGGGCGCTGAAGGTGGAGACGTACGGTCAGAAATGGCTGTTGCGTATAGACACTCGGCGGGCATATCCACTCCGCGGAACTGTGACGAGGCTGTACATTTCTACAAAGCGGCGGCTGAGAAGGCTATTGCATACATGCGGTCTGGTCCACCAGGCGGGCATTCTATGCCGCGAGAGTCATACAATATCGCTGACGATCAAGGTGGTGTGTATGGCGAAGGTGCAAGTACGAGCAGTTCGGGACCCAACGCCAAGGTTGCAAGCGCTCAATCTGATGCCTTCTCCTCCCTTGACGACGTCTTCGAATACATGGATCTGCAGGCCCGAAAGGGTGATGCTAGGGCCACATTCAATCTTGCTAAACTCAATTACGACGGCGCACGAACGTTGAAGCGAGACCTTCCGGCGGCTAAGAAACGGTTCTTGGAACTTGCCCGCATGTACTGGACAAAAGACGGAAAGATTAACGCAAATGTATCGCCGACGACCGAGAAGCTAGCTGCGAAGGCCGCTGGCTATCTTGGCCGGATGTTCCTGCGCGGCGAGGGTATGCCACAAAGTTTCGAGATCGCAAGAACCTGGTTTCGACGTGGCATGGAGTTAGGTGATGCACTGTCGCAGTACTCGATGGGTATCATGTATCTGAAAGGCCTAGGCGTGCCTCAGGACGCTGTAAAGGCTGCTGAACTGTTCGGTGCAGCTGCAGACCAGGATTTGGCAGTTGCACAAGTCCGACTTGGTGCGCTCTTTCTGGACCAAGGCGATATCGCCATTGCGGCCAAATACTTTGAGCTTGCAGCTAGGCATGGGCATCTCGAGGCCTTCTACTACTTAGCTGAAATGACGAACAACGGCATCGCTCGCACCAAGTCTTGTCCTCTAGCGGCCACATATTACAAGATCGTCGCAGAGAAGGCCGAGCTTGTCTCTACATCTTTTCCAGAAGCCAATGAGGCTTACGCGGATGGCGACCTAGAGACTGCACTCGTTAGCTACATGATGGCAGCTGAACAAGGCTTCGAGGTTGCGCAGGCTAACGTCGCCTACCTTCTCGACCAAGTCAAGCCTCGCTTTACCTTAGACTCGATCGTTCCCTTCATGAAGCAGAAGCCTTCGCTGGCTAGCGATGCATTCCTGGCGCTAGTATATTGGACGCGCTCTGCAGAACAGAAGAATGTTGACGCCATGGTCAAGATGGGAGATTACTATCTGATGGGTCTCGGAACACATCCTGATTCCGAAAAGGCTGTGGCTTGTTATACAGCAGCAGCAGAGACCATGCGAAGCGCACAAGCCATGTGGAATTTGGGCTGGATGCACGAGAATGGCATCGGCATTGATCAAGACTTCCATCTTGCCAAAAGACATTATGATCTTGCCTTGGAGACAAACCCGCGCGAGGCTTACCTACCCGTCATCCTAGCGTTGTACAAACTCAGGATCCGGAGTTGGTGGAATACCTTCACAAATGGCAACATCAAGTCTATCCAAGAGGAGCCCGGTAAGACGCCACTTCTGAAAACATTTCGACCAATCTGATACTAATATGGCTGCAGTCGTCAAGAAACAATGGACACTTTCGGAGTGGCTCAACGCTTTCCTCGAAGCCGAACTCGCCGGCTGGGATGAATACGAGCCTGATGACTTCGATGACACACATACAGCCGGCGACGACTACTACGGTGACGGCTACCACGGCGACGATATTGATTCGGATATTCTCGAGTCGCTCATCATTCTGGCTCTGAGCGGCGCTTTGGCATTCTTGCTGTACTACAGGACACAGAGGCAGAGAAGACAAGAGGAAGAGAGAAGACGGCAACAGGAACAACAACAGCAGCTGAATCAGGGAATGCCGGTGCAGCAACAGCAGGCGGAAGGACAGCCGCTACCAGACAGAGGACTGTTTCCAAATCCAAACGACCCTGATTTTATGAATTGGGTAGCAGGTGGCGTAGGTCATTGAAGCATTTTTACGTGGCGTTTAGGCAGCCGACGAGCAACGATAGATTCCATGCAAAAATTCAACGGTAGTTCGTCAACGTACGTAGCCCTTCACTGCACGAACGTGATCTACAGATGAGGAAGCTTGCATATTTTTGGGTGAATCAAATTCTCTACACCAATTCCTGGGTACAAATAGAGCGGATTGTGGGTGAGTTGCAGATCTGCCTGGACACAACACATCGACTCCCACCAACCCACTCCTGCGTCATGGAGATGCCCCAAGATTACATCAAGTTACACATCAAATCTACCATCAAAGACGCTCTTCGGCGTAGGAGCAAGCAGACGTTCCCGTGCCCAGATACCCTTGACGGTCTTCGCGCACTTATCGAGGCCCAGGATCCCCAACCAGCATGCAACTGTGATCAGTGTGATCCGCGTTTCTACAAGTCCCATTGGAACTGCAAGATACATCCACACGACCATCCCAAACTCAAACCCGACGGCATCAAAAACGAGTTCGGAAATCAGTGCTACAAACCCTTGAAAATGAACGTTGCGCTCCGTGCTGAAGCAATGGAACTGACTAGAATAGCAGTGAAATACTTCGACCGCCCACTGGAATCTCTTAATAACACGCAACTAGCCGCTTTGATGAACCTTCAAATATGGGTTCAAGAGCACATGCCACTGTTCTTTGTCATCACACCATCCACACCATCTGCAAGTCTTGACACAATCTTCCCTGAATCTTCAATGCGCGAGCTTTGGAAGCATATCAACATTCTGTTCTTCGGCTCCGACATTGCGCGTCGCCTCTCCTGCTTTCGTTGGGCTACTACTCCCCTACACCCCAGATATGAAACGGCAATCGGCGTGGCGTCTGTGCGTTATTTTCGCTACAGCATCGTCATAATACCATCTATAGACTGCAATTTAATGCTCAGCACGCCTTTACACGAAGCCTGTCATATATTCTTTCGTTACTATGCCTGCCAAGCTTGTTGGAGTACGGAATGGAACCTGAATACATTGGGACACGGGCGCGCATGGCAAGTTCTTGCGTCAGCTGTGGAACGCAAGTTCGTAGAGTTCACAGGCCTGCCGGCTGATCTTGGTCGTCTCGATTCGTTACGAGCGCACTGGGACGACTGCTGGCCATTACCTAGTATTCACGAATTAGCAGACTGGCAGCTAGATAGGCCAACATTGATGCAGATTTATGTGAATGATTTATATAAGGCAGTTCGGGGGTACGTGGGACTAGACGGAGGACACGACAAAGTTAGAGATTTCCCGCTAAGAGGGTTCAAGGAATATTGGTGGGTGGATATGAACCAGGCTGAACGCATCGCAAAGGAAGGGAGGTTGGGAGATGGCACAGGGTTATTCGAAAAAAAGACGTTGGTGTGTCGTGCTGACTTGAGCTGCGGAGGGATGGAGCGCGAGCAAGAACAGTCTGACGGAGAGGTAGAGAGAGAACACGAAAGGATCTGATACAAGTGCAAAGGTGAGGGTAGTATTTTTGCACAAAATGAACCACGTTGATCTTTAAATACATTGTTAAGTTAGGACCCTCGATGCCAATGCGAAGGAGTACAGCAACCACACCATATCATCTCAAAAGCTTTCACACACTATTCCTTTTGCCGCCGCATTACAACAAACCATGTTCTCTACAGCAGATGTGAGCGTCAAATCGTCCATATTAGCAAAGGGTCGCAAGATCGGGGTTTCTCTCAGAGCTCTGGCTCATCTTGGACGGCCCTGCTTCTGGTTGAAACTAAACCACCATAGTCGCTCCAAGAAAGACCATCGGCTCCAATTGCTGCGTCGTAAGCAAGTTCCCGATTTGTCTTTCGTCGCCTTTTGTGTAAGCTGGGTGCCAGTAAATCTATCCTAGAGGAAGAATCGGAAGCCGTGGTGTGCTGTTTGGCCACCGATGAAAAGTGGATAGATTGATCTTCTGGAGTTTGATCGGTCACTTCCTGACGAAAAATATGCGCAAAAGGTGTTTCTGATGTAGGAAGAACCCTCCGAACCCCAAAGCTTCCTGATTTGGTCGGCGTGCTTGAAGCGAGGTCGTTCGAGGTAGGGAGTATGACATGCCGTTCATGGGCCCCATCATCAGTCATTTGCGTATCCGCTTGGTTCTCTCCTCTGTATCGCTTTTGTCGGCCCTCGAAGGCTAATCTTGCTTCGAAAATCTCCATCATTATGGTATCGTGGCGAAAAAGGTCAGCCGAGCACAAATCGCCAAACAGATTTCGCATGCTAAGCTCGGGTGTCCAATGAACATCGTCAACAGTGCATGGAAATATATCTCTAGGACTGAAGACCCTAACAAAGCCACGAAGTTCGGAGTATGAAGAATGGCGGCTGTATGGAAATCGAATCGTCTTGTTAGACGGCAGTTCCATTCCGGAGTCTTTTAAAGCATTAGATGACAATATAGAGACGAGAGTTTCCAAAGACACGTCGTCTTGCGTGTCATGAATGTGCTTTTGAAGCTGCATGTCGAGGTCGAGTTTACCATCTTCGATGAGAGTACGCCGTACCAACGCAACTACTTTCGCGAGCAAACGCTCATCGTCTATGGATGCAGCACAGAGCTCCAATAACTTGTTCATGCCGCCCACTCCACCAGACTCTAGCTCTTCTTTCTGATCGAGATCGCCCTTGCCACCTCCAGCGCCTAGTTCGGCGATATCCACTCCGTCGGTGCGCGTAACGATGGGGATGATGTGTATGATCTCTGCGTTCGAATCGCGGTCCAGGACAGAACAACCCATGCCACGCTCACAACTATGAATGCGGACGTCCTCCTGAGACGTCAGACAACCCGGTTGTATGTGATTTCCATTCCTAAAACCGCATAAAGCAGGAGCCTCGCGGATCTCCAGTCCAGATTCTTGAAGCGGCTTGTTACTTGCTGGGACATCGAGGCCTGCTTCTCGCAATTGCCGCTTATCTAGCGTAGACAATGAACCGTATACACGCGCTCGGTACTCGTCAAGGTGTATGCGCGAGTGTAGGAATGCAGAGAGTGCTATCCATACGTTCTCATATCCAAACGTCCAAGAATGGAAGTAAAAGATTGTATCGCGCGGATACTCACCCACCTTGTCCAGCAGCTCTTGTATGCCTTGTGCTTTACTCGGAAATTGTCGATAGGGCTCCTTTTTCGTAGCGAAAGTCGTGTCCAAATACATGCAATCAAGCTCTCGGTTTCCGAGTGAATATGGCAATAGTACTGGGTTTTGTACTATTGAGTTTACCCACCATTCCTCCGCACGGATATCGCCGGTGTACAGTATTGCTTTACCATTGCCCTCGATCAGAAACATGACGGCACCGACGCAATGGTTCGCATCGATAAGAGTTACCCTGATACTGTTTCCTGGCACTAATTCAATCAAGGTTGGTGTGTCAAGAGGGAGCGCCTTAGCCAGTTTGCGCATGCTTCTGTCGTAAGTGACATTGCTACTCTCGAGGATACCCTTAGCAAAGTTGACACGATAATAAAATCTCTCTAGTCGCAGCAGTATCTACAAGACATGTCAGTTTTACAGTGAAGTTCATCAGAGCCGAACGAGTTTAGTAATCACCTCCTTAGTCGCAGCTGAACAGTACACAAACGGAGCGCGCAAGGACTCGAGGCCGGCCAAATGATCAGAGTGTATATGACTCAAGAAGCATACTAAGGGCGCCTTGTGCTCCGGTTGCTGACGGAAATAATCTATCCTGATGTGGGGAAATTCTATAGCAAGATGTTAGTCTGCATATCGATTGAGAAGGGTAGCGCAACAATGTTCACCAGCTATGACGCCTCTGAAAGTGGACATATGTGCGGAAGGTATTGCAGAGGGCGCAACATTTCCAATATCGCTAGAATGTCAAGGAGCTAGCTGATGATACAAGCAAACAACATGTCGGTGACGAAAAGCTACTCACGAACATCATCGGGAATGAGAGACCCGTCGATCTTAGCGTTGTTCGTCAGGGTTCGGGGCAGCCGCGGTTCGGCCCACACGATGACGCTTACTTCTACGAAGTCACTAGTCACTACCAGCCACCGTGATCTTTTATTGAGATGCGGAAACACTAGCTACCACATCGTATCATTGCGTGCATACCGAGAAATCCGATGGTTCATTATCCTACTACGGCCGACACGCCATACCCAGTTACACCACGAACACGTCACTAACTTTAACAACCTGTCCAGTAGCCATTGACTTATTTCCACAGATACCCGTAAGAATTGAAAGCGCACCGTCAACGTGACTAGCAGCTCTCATATCCTGGTCGATCTCCGCACCTTGCTCACCAAACAAATCTGCTAGCAGGACCTCGTCGCCTCCGCCATGCGCCCCAACAGAATCAGGGATCTCTATGTCCTCAGGCTTCTCAAACAGCTTTCTGAGTGTGATCGATCGCTTTTCGAGTGATCCCTCGAGCGATTGGTCACCTCCGCTGTTCACGTAGCTGTTCTCGACGACTTCCATTTCCACACGGCCCCCAGTGCCGTTGAACGACACGCGGAAGCCTTCCCATGGTGCGTATGCAGTCAGGGAGTAGGTGAGTACCGCACCGTTCTCATACTTTACCAGGAGGTTCATTGTATCTTCTATGCTTATGCCGTCGCCGAAGACGCTTTGATCGCGATAGTATGCGTCTTCGTGCTCGGCATCGAGGTACATCTTCTTCAGTTTCTCATTTTGGTCCATGTGCAGTGCGAATGGATCTTTCTTCGCCACCTCACTGCCATGGGCTCTTGTGTAGAAGTCTTGAACGCCTCGCTTCTCAGCGTTCTCTCGCCCGTAGAAGTTCAGATTTCCCTGCGCGTACACAGTTTCCGGACGCGAGGATAACCAGAAATTGACGAGGTCGAAGTGATGGGTTGATTTGTGGACGAGTAGCCCACCGCTATTACGCTTATCCCGGTGCCAGCGGCGGAAGTAGTCTGCGCCATGCGACGTGTTGAGCATCCATTCGAAGTGTATGCTCGTCACCCTTCCAATTGCACCAGAACGAAGAAGTTCCCAGACCTTTGTGTTGTGCGGTGCGTAGCGGTAGTTGAACGTAACGCGTACTTTCTTGCCCGTTCGCTCAACAGCATCGAAGATCTCACGACACCGTGGTGCGTCAATAGTCATGGGTTTCTCCGTTACAACATTGCACCCTAGTTCCAGCGCGCGAACAATGTAGATGTTGTGTGTGCGATCGATGGTTGTTACGATGACCTCATCTGGTTTCGTGTCTCGAATCATTCGGTCGAAATCTGACGCTTTGAAAGTGGGAACCTTGGCATGGCCGAGAGATTCCAACTGTGAGTTCGCAAAGTCCAGTCGTGTCTGGTTGGTGTCGCATAGCGCTACAACAACAGAGGTCTCCTTGTAGGTCGTCGCTATCGCTGTGTAGAAGAAGGACGAACGACCCCCTGTGCCAATCAGAGCATATCTCTTTTGTTTGTTCCCCCCCGTCATTTTTGCTAGTAAAAGATATGAGAATGAACGTTAAACCAAGCGTACGGTAGGTCAAGACTTTGTTCTGCAGCCACCTCTTAACCTCTTAGGAAGCTTCCCACGACGACGCATCGGTGTATCGCTACCCCGGCTAAGCCGTCGAATTCGGCGCATCCCACCCCGAACGTTGCACCACGCGATTTCGCGATGTCGATCCTGCCTTTTGCCGCCACTATAGCCGGTTGGTGAACCAATGTTTCGAGAAGAGGCCCCACAGGATCCGCCCCCATGGGGAAAGTGAAGCAGGGGCGACCGTAGCTAAGCATGGGGTTTACCGCGTGAGCTCTGCGGGGAAGCTCACTCCTTACCCAAAAGCTTGTGTTGAGGTGCTACTTGCGCGGATGGACAACGGATGGAAGGATGTGATACGTGGATCAGCATGGCTATGAGGGGCTTTGACTGCGACCGGGAAGCTTGAGATACGCCTGGCCATGTGGATGCTCAATACCCAACACGAAGATGCGAGCAAGAATCGTCGACCCAACCGGTCGGTTCTTATTCTCCGAACTGGAGCCTTTCACTGATAAGTAGATGATTCCGCCACTTAGGAGATAATCACGAAGAACACGTACCTATCCTAAAGTCATCGCTCTGCAACATCATGGCGACAACCTATACTGAAACTCCCAAAGACGACACCATCACCCATGTCGAGCACTCCACCCCCACAGTTGGACAGAATATTGCGAAAGCCGACGCTGCAGCCAAGTTTCTAGCCAATGCGCATGTCGATGATGTATCTTTCTCCTACGAAGAAGAGCACGCACTCCTCAAGCGCGTGGACTATCGAGTTCTCCCTCTTTTGCTGTGAGTATCTCTGTACGAACTACATGTGAGATATGCACTGACCTTGTACACCCATATTCAGAGGAGCCTACTTTTTCCAACAGCTCGATAAGTCTTCGTTATCCTACGTCTCTATCTTCGGTCTGCAAAAGGATGCAGGACTAGTAGGACGACAATACTCATGGCTTGGTTCTATCCTTTATCTTGCCCAACTAGTCATGCAACCGCTCGCCGCATTCATCCTCGTCAAACTGCCCACTGGAAAGGTCATCGGAACGGCTGTCTTCCTCTGGGGTAGTAGCCTGGCCATCATGTCCGCCTGTACTGATTTCAAAAGCCTTCTCGGTATGCGATTCGTATTGGGTTCCTTCGAAGCCATGATAGCTCCTGCGTGTGTTGCGACCACAACGATGTGGTGGCGCCGTTCCGAACAAACTCTTCGAACGGGTTACTGGAACGCTATGAACGGTGTCACATTCATTGTTGGGTCCCTTTTCACCTACGGTCTTGGACACATCAATAGCGACTCGCTATACAAGTACCAGGTTATCTTCATGTTCTGCGGTCTCTTGACTGTAGCGTATGCTTTCGTCGTCCTTGTCTTGATGCCGGATAGCCCGATGAAAGCCAAATACTTAACTGAGCGAGAACGATTCATTGCGGTCGAGCGTCTGAGGGCTAACCAAATGGGTATTCAGTCCGGAGAGTGGAAGTGGGATCAGGTCTGGGAGACCTTGATCGACTTCAAGACTTGGTGTTGGTTCATTGCCATCATCGCTATCTCGTAAGTAGTTGACCTAGTTGCATCAGAGGCCTGTTACTAACATCTCTCTTAAAGTATAGCAAGCGGCGGTATATCCACCTTTGGGAATCTCATCATCCGCGACTTCGGCTATACCAACTTCCAATCTATTCTTTTCAACATTCCCTTCGGTGTCATTCAGGTCGTCTGTATCCTGGGATCTTCCTGGGGAGCGGCACGTTGGAGTCGCAAAGGTCTTGCCATTGCCCTTGTCGCGATCCTACCCATTATCGGCACGATCATGATGTTGACCGTACCCCGTCAGCACAAAGGCGTCTTGCTCTTTGGATACTACCTTGTATCATGTCTTGCTGCCATCACACCTTTGATATACACTTGGCACGTGCAGAACACCGCTGGTGACACGAAGAAGAAGTGTACGTCGGCTATGGTGTTCATCGGCATGTGCACAGGCAACGTCATCGGTCCACTCTTGTACTCTGTTGACGACGCACCTCTATACCGGCCCGGCCTTATCTCCAACCTGGTAATGTTCGCGCTGGTTGCTATCATCGCACTCCTCATTCCTATGTACTTGGCACTGTTGAACAAGAGACATGCGAAGCGAAGAGAGGAGTTAGGCAAGAGCGCAGTGAGAATTGACGAAAGTATGTTGAAGAAAAAGGAAATGACACAGAAAGGAGTGGAAATGGAGGCGCAAGACCAGAGACAGGAGCAGGACAATGGCTTCTCTGATTTGACAGACATGGAGAACGAAGACTTCATCTACGTATACTAGGGACTGAAGATTGGGGAAGAGGGTAATGCATCGTCGCTACATGACAGTGCCTAGCTAGGAATATGGGATCTTCATAGCAATATACGTGTGGCTTATCACGTAAAGCAAGTTGCAAGGATGAAGCACAGGAACACATAACACTGCCCAGGTGGTACCTAGACGTACCACGCGATGTGTCGCGCTGATTCGCGGAATTAAATGTATTACCTAAGTGTGAAAGATTGGAATCTGCCCTGCCCTGTGCGCAACACCGCGCATCTGGCCGATGTTGCATCTACTCCTGTCGCCTGCTATCCCAGTTGAACCAGCTTATGTACACAACCCATTCTCGATATGGCAAGAGAAGGCGCAACTTTAGGGTTAGGGCTGTGCAGCAACATTTTCGCGGATGGACTTGGCGAGAACAGACCACCTGGCAATACGGGAACCTTGGATCGTACAACTTGGGAACGAGGAACCCCTGAAATGTACAATGAGCTGACAACAAATGGTAGCTGCTACCACACACACGAAGGAGTCTAGGTGATACCACTAACAATGGGTCATCCAGTTCTTTAAAGTACCCACGAATGTGCGCATCTAGCGGATACGGGGGCCGCGCCAGAACTCGCCGGTCGACTAGTTCGCTTCCAGCGCGGCTTCACGCGTTGAGTGTTGGTTATAGACAATTACTCGATGTTCTTCGGGTGTGGAACCCAGGCTAAGTCAGTTTTCTAGAGTCAAGCTACCTGTGATGATGGCGCCGTTGAAGCTGAGTGGTCTTGTTCGCACTAAAAACATATGCTGATGCTCCACCTTAAAGCAGGAACCGACGAAGACATCGGGAATTCCGCTGGTGGATCCACGTCATGCGAAAGTAGCCGGCATGCGCCAGACCTGTGTCGCAATTTTTTCCTTTCGGCTCGATTCTCCGCACCTGACTGACACTCACTTATTCTGATTTTGAAACACCCGTGGCGCAGTCAAATCATTTCGATTACCATAGAGAGCTCATTTGTACAGCGCCTATCCCAACATGTAGCGAGGCAGTCCTCTAGTCCATCAAGCCGGCATCCTCGCTACACCAAAGGGCCGCCGTTCTCACCGCAACCCAACTCCATCATTCAAAACAAGCGTTCGCCATATCATGCGAAGCCGCGTCAAGGGACAAGACAAGCGCTACTTTATTAATAGTCGCGATACCCCAGATCAGACCCAGTGTTATGTAATTTCTCCATCTAGAAGTTATGTCCCGCTTCGCTGCTAGTTACCGCAACGCCGTTGGCCTCAATACAGGAGCCCCTAAGGGATCATGTGCACTGTCGTCTATAACCAATCGGCTGTAAGTTAAGCGGTAAGAACAGACAAGAAAGTTGATTTTAAGGTACGCGCGTTGTTACCGCCCAACATTAAAGCATCACGGCTAGAGAAAGAAACGCGAGATGCATCTGGAAAATCACTGAATACGGACCGAACCCTAGTTGACGGAACCTCGGCACAAGACATCTCACCGTGCCGTTACTACAGTAGAAACACATCCGCTTAACAGAAGCTAGCTCGGTACCTGCATTCATAGTTGGCTTATGCGACCGCGAGGAGCTAGGTAGCATAGCCACAGTGTTCGAGCGCCCCTTCACGTTTCACAACATCACTTCCCGTGCCCAAAGTGCTCGAAGTCGACGATGGAACCATACTCGGAGCTTTAATAAGCTTGACAAAACTGATCTTTCGGTCCGACGCTGGTAAGTGCCGTCAGGTTGCTCATACCTACTACGAAGCAAGGCAACTCATCAAGTCAACTCATCAAGTCTTAGGGCGGCTAGATAAGAGATAATGTTTATCGGTTCCTTCGTTAGATTTAAACTGGAACCTATGTTGAGAAGTTTGCAATGATAGTAAATCCACGGTGACATGTCGCTTCTCTTTCTGTCCAAGCACGGTGACAATTTGGGCGCTAGCATTGACTACCTGCCAGCCTCGGACTATCACTACACCGCACTATGGATCGAGGATGTGCATTGTTTGGCATGCTACCCACGGTTCTCCTCCTGAAACTCGTATCCCTAGGATGACCACAGCAGCTGACGAGGGCCTTGTCAATCACAGGGCGTAAGTGTCAAGGTGTATCAATGTTGTAGTATGTACGAGGCTAGCGTCAAGGGCGGTGTACCCGAGACTGCTGTATGAATGGGAGAAAGGGGCATGCAGTTGATGAGAGCATGAAAAGTCTCCTACTTCCTCATGTCAGAACAGTGTGTCCCAACCCTTACTCACCAAACCTAGCATCTATACAATAGTGGAAAGATGTTTGTCCGTCAACTCGTCGTTAGAGTTATCGCTGCCGCAGTGTTGCTCAAAATAGTGAGCGTCATCTGGCACCAATATGTCTTTCAGTCTTTCCTCGTCGAACAGCAAATCACATTCGACGATTTCCCCACCGACTACGCGAAGAAATTGAACGAATCGCGGGCAAACAACCAGCAGCCTCAGGAGTCCGACTACTCTTCCACCTACAACGGAACCAAGATCCCACGTACGATACACTACATATGGTTCGAAAGAATCTACCCAGGCCATGAAGGGCCTTCTGGAGGCCCATCGATTGGATTTGGATCACCGCAACTATGTCGCGAGCACAACCCAAGCTACGAGATCCGCATGTGGAATGCAACGAGCGCTCGCGAGTTTCTATCCAATGAGTACGCCTGGTTCTTACCAACATATGACAACTACAAGTACCCTATTCAGAAGGTCGACGCCTTGAAGTACTTCGCGCTTTATCACTTTGGTGGTGTATACATGGACCTAGATGTCGCGTGTCGACGCTCATTGGATCCTTTGCTTGACTTTCCAGCCTGGTTTCCGGAAGCATCGCCTTTGGGTGTCAATAACGACCTGATGGCATCCGCAGCAAAGCATCCGATCGTGAAGAGGATGACAGAGGGTCTGGTGACACACAACTGGAATCTACTGTTCCCATACCTTACAATCTTCTGGACGACTGGGCCACAGTTCACGAGTACGATACTGCAAGAATGGTTCGAGGAGTGTCCCGATGGAAAATGTATGCAGCGCGGGGCCAGAGACGACCTTGGTAAGTCAGCAACTTATGCTCAACAAACAAAGACAATCTTGATAGCTGACTTGTTCCACCCAGACTCGGATTCCTTCGTCGTCCTACCGCGAGTCTTCTACTCAGAAGAATACACCTTTTTCGGTCATAAGCCTGGAGGATCATGGCATGGTGGGGATGTCGCCGTGGTATTGTGGTTCGTAGAACGACCATGGGCGATCGCAAGTGTTGCCACAGCCTTTGTTGGAACGATCTTTGGTATTATTCGGTTGAGGAGCAGACGGGCCCGACAAAGAGGGAAGGCATATATTCCACTGGTTTAGAAGAAACACAATTCCATAAATGTTACCTGTAGTACTTTCACTATGCTTTTGGAGGCGCTTGTGAACAGCGTGTCTGTCGGGGTGCAATTCGGCTTGCAAGGAGACGACTTCACAGACATCAGCAGCTTTGTCAAGTTGCTCTTGAAGATCTTTCTGTATGTTTAGATGCAAGAGGTAAATCGATCGCGCTTTATACCTATGGGTTTTGTGTCACAAGTTCGACGACAAAGCGGGTGTCTCATCTTGAATACAATTTACCCTCGTGATCGTATCCCAAGTACGCGAGATACGACAAAGCCTGCACGCATCCGACCATCCCGAAGCTCCACCGGCACTCCTGGTGGAACCGGATCGTACCGGCCTAGTGTGGTTCTACATTCTAGCAGTTTAGTGGTAAGTTCAGAGGCTTAGTCAACAATACCATTTATCGTTCGCCAAAAACTTCTATGTAGACCACAGGGCTACTGGGGTATTTTGAACGACCCCATCTCACGGTCTTGGACTTGGATATTACAACCGCGCCCCATGAACTAGTTTCATAGATACGAAATGAGTGAGGGGGGTTCTAAGATCGACAATATGTTGTCGGCATGCCGTTATCCTCAGTTCGTGTCAGCAGTTCACGGTAGCACTCCGTGCAGGCTACGAGATCTGACATGCAAGGACGACGGAAAGGACTTTGCAAGAGCAAGTAAAGAAACGAACAGTGAGCACCACCTAGGTACGCCAATTGATTCATACTAATACAGGAAGAGTGAGCAACCTCTTTGTTCAGCTTGCCATATATTTTCCTAGTATTGAGAACGAGAATTGAAGTTGAGGCTCTCACTTGCTTATGGTCATGCAATCTCAAGTCTTGGTCATCCCAAGACCAGTCTTTAACAAAGGCCCTTTTTGGTCAATTTCGGCCATCTGAGAAGTGCGACAAGGACCAAGGGCTGCTATGTCGCACTGACAGTATTATTGTCTCAATGGATCGATTGATGTTCTCGCCTTTCTAGGCGTCTGACTATGCGAGCTCCATCTCTAGCCTCTTCCCCAATTCATGCTCGTAACACGTTCCACCAAATACAAAACAGTATGTTTATGTCGCTCATGTACCATCCACCCAGTGTGCTTTCACGACTAAGAATGACAATTTTCGCTCGATCTTGGAGCCCCAACACCGAGGTGATGCTATTACAAAGAGAATATGAACAAAGATAGCATGGAGATAGTAGTACAGGAACCTTCAACGCCCGCTAACTCAAACAGAATGATGATGACCGAGAAATGAGATGATGCTGTTGTGATGCACAAACGTTGTTATGCGGATGCTTTCTCGGCAAAGACAGGTCTACTGTGAAAGCCTGTTACCGATCAGTGTGCCGAAGCTATTGCCCGCGGGTCGTGGCTCTTTGCCGGCTCCGACGTAGAACTCGCAGCGGAATTTGAGGCACTCAGTTCCGCGGGCGTCGTGATACACTTGCACGATGTCACCAGTATGCAGATGTCCAAAGAGAGCACGGCCCTTATCGTCTTTCTGCTTCAAGTGCTTGCCATTGATCGAGATGCCGTGTGTGGCGCAGGTCCAGATGCCAACATTCAGGTTGTCTAAGGTGGTCCAATCTTTGCCCTGTTGCGAAAGCTCCTCTACGGTTTCCGGAGCCTCTCCACCAGGCGAGTAAAAGAACACGATGAAAGCTGTTTTGGGAATGCGTGTATCACCTCTGTGCTCATATACGATTGTGTTGTTGCCCAAACGGCCCCAGGAAGTTTTGCTCTGATCGATGTTGAGAACAAGGTTAGGCGCGAAGGAATCGGGGGTTGCGATGAGTTTACCCAGTCGCCGTGGTGGCGGACGAATGTCAACCTCCACCGGAACCGAGGGAATTGCTACCGCTGTAGATGGTGCTGCAGCAACACTCGATGTTGTCGACAGCGCACTTGCTTCCGATGCTGCTGTCGTGTCAGGATATGCAGATGTATTACTTGTAGCGTCGCGGCTGTTCGACACGAAATCGAATCCGCTTACTCTAGAAGCATACTCCAGATTATGTGTAGTTGGATCTTTGGGGTCGTAGTAGTAGGAAGCAGTCAAAGGAAGATTGATCTGTCGGTTCATCCCAGAAGGTCGTGCTCTCGGAGTTGGCTCGCTATCTTGGCTAAAGTCCTTGGACGACTGATCCAAAGAGCTATGCTGAACGACTTCCGGGGTCTTCGGTGTCGCTGGCATCACGGGGCTTTGCGTTCTAGATACGGGTGAGTGCGGCGAGGTCATATTGAGATCTCGTACCAAAGACTCCGCACCAAGGAGGCTTGGCGAAGAGAAGCCGCGCTCGAGCTGCGCAGGTGCAGTAAAAGGACCCTGAAACTCTGCCTCACGAGTAGTGTAACTAGTGTCGCCTGCTCCATCGTTCTGAACCAGACGAACAGATTCATCCTGTGAGAGCGCATCATTGGCATGAGCACTCAAAACTCCAGAGCTCTGCAAAGCAGACTGTCCAATCTCACCAAACAAACGAGGCTGCCTCGGTGTGGGAATAACTTGAAAACTCTCGTCATTCACAAGATGTGAGGAAGTAAACGATGGCTCGACGCTGGAATCCTCATGATCTCGCACCTGATTTCGAGGGTATAAAGGATCAGCGCGAACTCGCTTTGGCTGGCGCTCTGTGACAAAGGCCATGAGCTCGTCATCAGATAGGATGTCGCCTTCTTCGTCTGACTCTGGAATCTCCTCCTCCTGAAGACTGAGCTGCGATAGCTGTTGCTCAGCTTCCTCTGGCTCCTCTTCTTCCGCGATGGACTGGAGAGTCGGGTCGGCTAGGAATTGTGCACCATCTTTGAGCCATGGATGGTTAAGACAGTCGCGATCTGTGGGACGAGTTGCAGGGTCGGTCTGAAGCATGCGCGTCAGAAGATCGATGCAAGCGGCGGACACACCTGCCTTCTGTAGCGGTGTCGGATCGAGGGGAGTGTGCATAATATTGTTGAACATGGCTTCGCCGGTGGCATCTGCAATACCTTTGAACGGAGGCTCGCCACATAGAGCGTACCAGAGGACACCACCAAAGGACCATATATCCACAGACGAGCTGTACGAGTGGTATGTCTTGGCACCACGCCGGCGCTTGGTACCTTTTGACTGGCCGCTAAAATCAGGAAACACTTCTGGAGCGCAGTACAGTAGGGTTCCACAGAAGGTTTTGAGGAAGGTTTCCTCGTGCTTGACAACTTTAGAAAGGCCGAAATCCGATAGTTTGACAGTGAAAGGTTCTAGATCGGAGATGAGGATGTTGTCAGGCTTGATATCGCGATGGGTGATCTTCGCACGGTGGAGATAGCTGAGTGCGCTCAAGATTTGCTGGGCCATCAACCTCGCAACATGTTCCTTCATGGATCCGTACTGGTTGAGGTAGCCTTGCAGATCGCCTTGCCGCACGAACTCCATGATGATATAAAGATAATCACCCTGGTCATGGTATTCGACGAATTCGACAATGTTCGGGTGCCGCAGATCTTGCATGATCTTCATCTCATTGTCGATCTTCTTGTCTAGCATACCGTTCTTCATAAATCGGCGCTTCTCCAGTTCTTTGGCAGCGAGAAGCTTTCCAGTCATCTTCTCAGCAAGTTGATAGACGGTCGCAAAGGCGCCTTTACCGATCTGGCCTGAGAACAGTTAGCAAGTATCAACCAAGCCACGATGACAATACATACCGACAATGTTATAGGTTTCACCACCGTCCCACTTCATCGACGGCCCGCCATACTGCTTTGTAATTCGCTGAACAGCCTTACCCTGTGCGTCGCCAAAGTCTGGTTGGCACTCGGTGATAAAGTTGCGCAAATTCTCACGGAAGCGGTCCTGGTAGTTGACCCGAGAAGGTATACGCACAATGAACTTGATCATCTCTGCATCATTAGAGTTTTGGATACAGATGATTGAACCTGAGCTGAGCATCCGCATCCTGCTGAAGCGTTTGTCCTTGCACTTCAGAAGCGAATCGTCAACGATGGTGCCGTTGGTCGACATGTCGTCCAGCATGAGAAGGCCATCCGCGTTGAGGTATATGCGAAAGTGTTGATTGCTTATCCTCTTGCCGGAGTCCTGACCGAAAATGACATCGGCGCTGTGATGATTGCGCCCAAATATGAATCCGAGTGGCTTGAACTTCAGCCTTTTTGCAGACGACATACGTAATGCCAGATCTGCGCCAGCACGCGAACTGCTACCCTGCCGTCCTTCAGGGGCGTTGATGATGAATGTCTCCTGCTCTTCGACATCGGTGATGGAACTACTCATGGAATCGAGTGAGCTGCGGAAAAGGACATGCTCAGGTCGCTCCAGAGCTGTCTGTTCGACTATGCGTATGGCTGTGGGAGTGGCTGGGTGGAGGATTACCAAGACGTCGGCAATATCACCGTCGTTAAGACCGGAGTTGTTTCTGCCCAGTCGCCGTGGATCTAGGACCTGTTGAGTCGCAGGTTGAGTCTGCTGAGATGGTTCAGCGTCCATGGTGATTGTCAGGCGGATCTCCGAGGGCGTATAGTCCTGTAAAGCCCTGGTGGGTTTGGTCTGAGACCTGGCGAAAGGTACGGCCGTGGGATCTTGGAAGGCGACAGACGTTGTCGAGCGGGTGATTGAAGGGCGGGTTCTAGGCTTTTATACACGGTATGCAGCAGATTGCGGGGTTCGTGAGATGATTCGAGGTAGGTCTAGCGCGAGCTGGTGGTAGTTGCGCTGATAGTAGAGTGAGTGATCACTTGGACAACGTAGGCACGATGTTGGACCGTGCGCTTAATGAATGGATTGCGCAGATAGTCGTGTGTAGAGTGTTCTGGACGAAGACGCAAGCAGAACCGACGCCAGAGCTCTGCGACGTGCTTCAAATCAATGGGACGTATCAATTTCTTGTATACCACAAGCAGCCAAGGGCTGGAAGTGAAGGCTTCTTAATAATGCGACTGTCCGCCACCAGGTCTTCATTAACCAGTCTGAACAGAACTGCTCTTCA